TTAATCCTACAATTGAAAATGGTTACACGAAATATTGGAGCAAACAAAGTAACAAACATACACGCGAATAAATTCAAAGAAAACTAGGTACGAGTGGGCATAGCAAGACGGCAAATAGGACAAACGTGACTTGTTCTTATAGATTACAGGCTAAAATCGTTATATTATAAGGTGAGAGTTAAAACTATCTAACTTATCAAGGTAAGAGGCTATTTTTAAGTTTTTGCCCCTGTTGAGACTAAGCCTCTGAGTTCGATTCTCGTTAGGACTACTACAGCGCACCGTTTTCGTTTCAATTGTTTTTTTTGCAAATCAATCCTTTAAAGTTTTTTATCTACATGATAAATAACTCAATAGTTATTTTATTTTATTAAAAGTAAAAATTTTTAAATTTAAATTGTATAACATGTAGATGGGTAAGATAAGAGATGAGAGATAATTTTTTGTATTATGTAATCAAAATTTTTATAAAAAAAATTCCTTTAAAGTTCTCTAAAAGTGTACCACGTTTGGACCACAATAATTATATGTTATTATTAAATTATTAAATATATATTATATTTTGATTAAGTTTAAATAAAAATAATTAATTATATGATAATATATTATAATTATAATTTTATAATATAACAAAATATATAATTATAAATTATTTTTTATTATTATTTAAAAAAAGATACCGTATAGTTTAAACTACACAAAATGCATAAAATTTAAATTTTTTTGATAATTTAATAATGTTGTATAAGAAGAAATAGTGTTTTCTTTTTTTCAAATTTCTTCCACTCAATTCATTTAAAATTTAATTATTAAATAAAATGAATGCTTAATATTAAGAGATATTTTTTATTTAATAATTTTTATTTTGTAAATTGATACAGTTTAAAATTGAAAATAAGGAACTCATTTATTTATACGTACTCTTTTTTTCAAGTTGCCTAATTTGGTTATGGAGACATTTTTAATTTATGCTTTTTATACTATATAAATAATAAATAATTTTTTAATAAAATAATGCTACTTTTATAAGATCTAATTATAAAAAAAAAAATTTACCGTTCATACTACTCTTTTAATTCATTTTTAGTAATAATTTTATTCCTTTTTTATGGACATTAGTTTTTTATTTAATAAAATAAATATGTAATAATTTAATAAAATAAAATTTTACAATTATCACTAAATAATCACTACTTAAAAAATATTATAATTTAATTGTAATTATTTTTTAAAATAAGAATAAAATTAAAGTAAGTGTATTAATTAATATTTTTTAAAAAAATAAACAACTAAATTTAAATATTTCAAATTAAAAATTAAGTTGATTAAAAAGATTAAACAGGAGTATATACTAGTATAAAAAAATAATATAAGAGCATACATTTATTTTTTTATATTTAATAATGAGTTACTTCTTTTATTTATTTTTAATAAATTTAATTTGATAAATTTTAAATGAAAATTTACCAATTTATATAAGTAACAACTAAAATTTTTTAATTTCATATATAAATTTTATTAAATATTTTTATTTAATAAAAAAATCAATTCTTGTTTATATAAATTATTAAAATTTTTAAAAATAATTAAATATATTAAAAATAAATAAAATTATATATAAAAAATAACTCTATTTTCCAAAAAAAAAAATTCCTTACTCAAAATTTAAAATTTCATACCTTATGACACCTAAACAAACGAAGGCGGTACTTATTTTTATGCAAAGACAGCACGTGGTGGAAGCCTTCGCCGCCCACTGCCCACGTGACCTATTCTGCTCGCTCGCCTCTGCCGTTTTTACTGAATTTCTCTACACCTTTCAAAGCAGTGGGGACGATAATGGTAACTTCGTAATTAAGTCCAACTTCTGTGGCAATTCAAGTTAAAACTCCATTCATTTTCCCGCACCACCACCACGTATCCTTCCTCGTTCCCATCGACCCCGTATTTCACCGATTATAAACCCCAATCCGCCGAACTCTCTCAGACGCTGGCGCTGAGAGAGGCACAACACCAAAACCCAAAGGTGCTAAGGTTTTTGTTTTGTTGTGGGAGCGAGAGATGTTGAAGGTTTCTTGCAATGCCACGGACAAAGTTCAGACCTTTGGGAAATGCAGATCATTGGGTTCATCTGGGCAAATCTTGTTAGCCCGGAGAAGACCTGTGCTCTCCGTCTTGCCGCTGAAAACGGGGGGTAAGACTCTGGTTCAGGCTGTTGTGTCGGACCAGCAAGGTGGGGTCACCCGGGTGGATTCTGGGTTGGGGAGTTTGGCGGACAGGCTGCGGTTGGGGAGCTTGACGGAAGATGGGTTATCGTATAAGGAGAAGTTTATTGTGAGATGTTATGAAGTTGGGATTAACAAGACTGCCACTGTGGAGACCATTGCTAATCTCTTGCAGGTATTTTTCTTTTGAGTTTTTGGGGTGATTTAGCTTTAATCTTGCCATGTTTGTGTATCTGCAATTCTGAATGCATTCCGTGTTGGGAATTATTTGACGTGAGGGTAAATATAGGATTTGGGGTTTCCTTTTGTGCCAAATTTATATTTTGTTTTAAATTTTAGGACTTTGTGATGTAATTCTTGGCACATTAATGGATCTTTGGTGACCTTGTTTATGTATATTTATGTCTGTTTAAACTTTTCCTTTGTTCATGCCTTAAGCATTAACATATTTTCTGCGAAATTACACTGACAGATTGGTAAGTATAGTACATTAAAGCTTTCTCTGTGATTGTCCATCAAATGAATCGGGTTTATATCCAAAAATGGTTAATGCTGAAGATTTCAGTAGCTATCCTACATTCTCAGAAGCTACGCATTGCAGGAAGTTGGATGCAACCATGCTCAAAGTGTTGGATATTCGACAGATGGGTTTGCAACCACTCGAACCATGAGGAAATTGCATCTTATATGGGTAACTGCTCGCATGCACATTGAAATCTACAAATATCCTGCATGGTATGTTTATTTCTCCTTAATTTCACCATTATTCATCTCTAGTTTTATGTTGCTGATTTCTGTCTGACTATTGAATTCTGGGTATGTGATGTAGGAGTGATGTGATTGAAATAGAGACATGGTGCCAAGGTGAGGGTAGAATCGGAACCAGACGAGACTGGATTCTGAGGGACTATGCAACTGGTCAAGTTATTGGAAGAGCTACTAGGTGCATCTATGCCATCCTCTTCTTTTGCATAGTTTTTCAATCCAATCTTTTATTATAAAATTGACATCAGAAGAGTCGACGGCCCTTTGTTCATCCATATTTTTGTAGTCTTGCTGTTCTTAATGTGGCACCTCCCTCCTGAATTAAGATCTACATTAACTGATACCATTTAGTTTTTCTTTCATATCAGTTACTTACTTTCTAGATTACCTTCACTAGTATTAAACTACTCTTTCCTTATGTTGTTGCATTGTGTGAGAAAGATAATTATATACACTATTTATTTCAGCAAGTGGGTGATGATGAACCAAGACACTAGACGACTTCAGAAAGTTAGTGATGAGGTCCGTGATGAGTATCTAGTTTTCTGTCCACGAGAACTGAGGTTGGTGCTTTGTTTTTCTAGAGGACAGTTACCTTTAATTTAACAAAATGTAACTTATCCTTTATCATTTTGAAGACAATAATATATGGTTCAACTCCGTTAACTGCAATTATTTCCTTTTGTTATTGAGTTCAATTATTGAGTCCCTAATGCTAGTACTTCATTCAGGGTTTGAGTGAACAGGGCATGCAATGATATTCATAAACAAAGTAAAGTTGCTGGCTTATCAAAATTTTGAACTATGTTTACAGAGTGATTGAATCATTGATAATACCTGTATATAGGTTTTAAGTGCCAGCCACTTTGAGATGAAATGGTTATGGGAGTTAAAGTTTTATTTTTGAAGCCATTTTGATTCGATCATGAGTCTTTTGTAGTAAGCAAAACACATTCCATTTGGAAATAGATTAGTTGATGGAAAATTTTTGGAAACTCTCTAGAACTACTGGAAGTGTGACTTTTGAAACTCTTATCTAGTGTTACAAATGACTCCAATTGAAAAGCTTTGGAATGCCTGAGAAGAGAATGGGAACATTTTATAAAATGACAAAAGTAGCCAATGATTTTGTAGAACAACTTAACAACATAGAGCATTTAATTGAATTGAAAAGCTGTCTCAGTAAATTCTTGATGTTATTGGATAAATATGAACTTATAAATCAGAAGAAATTCATGTTGGAGAGGGAAAAGCAGTTAGCAAACTCTTAGTGTTTGGGTTATGATAATTAGCTTTGTTGAGCCCTAGTTCCTCAAATTTCCTTTTTCCTGGTTTCAGTTACGGTACTGTTTCTATTCTTCACCATGTAATTGGTTCCTCTCTGGCTTTTACAGATTAGCATTTCCGGAGGAGAACAATAACAGCTTGAGAAAGATTGCAAAATTGGAAGATCCTTCTCAGTATTCCAGACTAGGGCTAACAGTAAGATGATCTGGTTACCAATATTGCAAAATGTGTTTATTTTCTTTAAAATTCTAATTCCAATTTCAAAATTGCAGTCTAGAAGAGCTGACCTGGATATGAATCAGCATGTTAATAATGTCACCTACATTGGATGGGTTCTTGAGGTTTGTAGAAACATCATCTCAGGGGTTGTGGTTTTGAATCGGAAATACCCTTCTTAATTATAATGGTTTCTGTTAAAATCTATCTCATTTATTTTAAAACTAATAGTGATGTATATATCTCTTTGGGGTTTTGGCAGAGCATGCCTCAAGACATCATTGATACGCATGAACTACAAACTATCACCTTAGATTACAGACGGGAATGCCAACAGGATGATGTGGTTGATTCGCTTACAAGTCCAGAGCCAATGGAGGATAATGGGGCACTTTCCGAGCTTCTTGGAACAAACGGAACTGCTCCTACAAGAGAAGTCAAACAGGACAACCTTCAGTTTTTGCATTTGTTGAGATTGTCAGGTGATGGACTTGAAATAAACCGAGGCCGAACTGAATGGAGAAAGAAACCTGCTAGATAAATTAATGCCTGTCCTTAGCCTTCTCTTGCCTCAACTATTTCTCCAAGCAATTTATTTTTTTCTTACCTTTTGTTTTGTTTGCTCTTTCTTGCTTTTTCCCTCCCAAGGGATCTCACCACCCAAAAAGTCTACGTAAACTATAGAGTGCAGTATGAACCCCAGCAAGACAAAGCTCTAGAAAAATATGTACTTGCGGATGTTCTGTCAAACCCTACAATTCAGTTTGTTGTGTCTCGTCATTTGTGATTTGTTGTACTTTCCCTGTCAATCTTTAATGTTTCATGAATCAAACAATCTCTGGTTCGATTTATCTTTTTCTGTGAATTGAAATTTCAACATTTGATGTCATAACGTAGATTTTGCAGCATATTGTTTAGGTGAATCACTTAAACCTACTCAATCTAAAAGTCTTAAGACTGCATGCCATATACGCCTTTTCCACCTTGGATCTTGACATTTTGTTGTAAGAGTTACTGTTTGCTTCCAAATCCATAGGGTTATTTTGCTCCATACATCCCATGGTTCAGTTCTAGAGGGCTGCTTCGAATGTTAATTTCAAGCTTCACATTACAACGCAATGATTTAGAACATTCCAGTAATTTTCCCATTAATTAATCAGTTGCTATGGCAATGATATTAAGAGCAATACTGCAATCATGAGTATGCGGAAAGGCAACTATTTTCCTCTACAAGTCTTGTCAGTAGGTCTTAGAGCTGGTGGCTCCGTACGTCTCCTAATACCTACTCTTATCTACTCTTTTCAGTCCTAATTCCAGGTTTTGGTCATCAGAATAGGTTCCACAAGAAAGGGGAAATCAGAAATACTTGCTTCAAAAGAAAGACCCAATTTTGATCCACTTAATTCTTGGGGACCAGAACTAGTGAAGGAGGTTTCTAAACAGATTCTTCTATGGCATCAGAACAACCTAATTTGAAGACAAGTATAAGAAAAGATGGGTAATGCAACAAACACGGGCACTAACCTAATCAGTTGTTTCAATCCAATTTGCAGTATAAAATGGGAAGCATTGAGACGGTTCTATGCAAGCAAGAGTGAGATAGTGAGAGAAAAAGAGTTTGCAATGGAGAGGAAAATCACAAAGGCAATACTTGTTCTGGTTCTCTTTCTGATGGCAGTTGTCGCTGGCATTAAAAAAGGAAGAGACTTGCCAGCAAAGGATGAGGTCTACAGTCCACAGCATCTGCTTGGCTTGGGAGACCCATTTGGACTCGGACTTGGACTTGGTGGCTGGCCAATTCCCTTCCCTTCCTTAAGCCCTGGCTTGGAGGATGCTGTGGTCTGCCTCCCTGGCTTGGGCCACCCAAAGCTCAAGAGACAACTAAAGGCAATGCCAGCAAATTCATTGTTCAGTTCCCACGACACGGGATGCAGTCACTGGTGTTGTTCTAGACATCAATAAGTGAAAGGTGGGGGCTCTGGGTTTGGCTGTACAATTAAGGTTTGCTCTGTTACCATGGGTAAATGGTGATGATTATACTACTGTTAATGCAATGGCTTGGCATATGAATAAATGTCTACTTTCCTCACGCTTTGAATAATAGCATGATCTTGCGTTGCATTATACTTCATGACAAACTCCAGATGCCACTTTCAAATATAGCAGAAACATAGCACGCTGTGCAAGGAACAAAACATGCTTAAACTAGCTATACTAACACATTTATGAATTCATGATACAGGGGATTAAACAGATTAATTGCGACTAATAAAAATTAGATTTGCATTCACCATCCAATAAAATGGAACATTTTTGGTGCTTTTGAAATGATAATTGGGATTGACCATCCCCTAAACATTTTTTTTTTTAACCGTAACAGCTCAACATGTCAGACAAATTTCAGAGTTCATAAAATTGAGGGCAGAAGGTGCAATTCGGCGCTTCTACTTGTTGTGGCATGTCAGCCCCTCTACCTATAAGTATAGTGCAAATCAACCTCTCTAGTACTCGAACTGACATGCCAAAAGCACCATTCCATTCCCCATCCATTTTGCAAAAGCAGTTTCATCAACACTGTCATAGAAAGGAAACAAATCAGCACTTGAAACACAGCAAAGCAGACCTTCCATTGACAAAAGAAATATATAATATTGACAGAACATAGCTTCCACGGTGGTTACTCAATGATTGGTAAGTCCAGAGTTTCAGCAAAGTTGGCCAAAAAGTGAAAATATTGTACTGGAACGTAGTGAACAATTGATCTAATGGAATGCATTAGGTGAAACCATAACATGAGTTGCATACAGAATCAACGTCCACATGCATTATCCAGAAAAAGAAGACAGATATATCATCATAGATGTTACTTCTATATGAGGGTAAAGTATAATTAGCTAACAAAGAAACCAAAGCTCCAATTTCCATTCATTATGAATGGCAAATAAAGTTTTTAACAATTGAAATGTTTTCGTAATAATTCAAAATTAAATGCACTATAGGAGCAATAAACATCCACCCCTTTCTAGTTTTTACTTCTTCAAGCTATCCATACAATGTTTAATTAAACTTACAATTCTTTAGCCAACAATTTAAACAGATAATTTCTAAGAGTGGTTTAGGAACTTCCGACACACAAAAGCATCTGTCATGCATATTGGATATCAATGTCCAAATAGACTTGAAGGCCAAAAAAAATGCCCAAATAGACTCACTTTCACAACTTGACATCTACTTTCCAAATTAGAAATTTCAAAAGGAATAAAAAAATACTCGAGCAGACTCACACAACTAGCTGCCCTTGAGCAGACTCACACAACTAGTTGCTGGGCACAAACCTCATCTTGCACCGGTTGATGGAAGGAAGACCCTAATAAGTTCCTTCACAGTGACCCTTTTCCTACAAGTAGGGCATTTAGCCTGCACAGCAAGTGCAGCCTTAATGCAGCTCTTGCAGAAAATGTGACCACACCTCGTTGACATTTCTTCGACTAATGAACCCAAGCAAATTGGACAAGTGAATGTTGGCTCTTTTGGAGGTACAGGAGGCTCTGCAACATTTTGTGTCTGCCAATGTAACAAATGAATTTGAGTCTACATTCATTGACTAACAATAAAAAAACAAAAAGAAAATAGAGAAAGCATCTGCATACTTAAGTGGCATAAAAAATACATGCTTGCATCCAACAATAAGTGCACAGACTCTGGAATTACAGCGAAACTATTACCTTAGATTGTATACTGCTTTCCAAATTTATGTATTGTTTGCAATTAATTACAGGGTGACTTGTAGGAATTCTTCTGCGCCTGGGACGATTATTATCGCTTATTCTTCCTGCAGAAGAGATTGACATAAGCCAAATCAACTTCAAGATTGTGTAATCTCGGAATTCAACCACAAAGAGCAGAAGATGGAAACATAAAACAAGATGAATCAAAATTGCTGCATTAGCTTCTTAAACAAGAAGCATGCTCAGAGCCTCAGACATCAGCCTCAAGTTCATTATCAATCCATCACCAAGAATCCACAAGGCACATCCCAAAGAATGGGACCAAGTTATGTATCTTAGAAAAAGACAAAATTATATATTTACTACATCCACCTTCAACAAATTTGTATATATTATACAATAATCTGGGACAAGTTTTATCAATTCTAGGATTTTCTTGTTCACAAATTCCAAATAGAAAAAAACTGGTAGAAGGCTATTCAAATGGTATGCAAATACAATAAATGCCTTGGAATCATAATTTGATTACCTGAATCTAGAATTGTGGTTCTATCCGAATCAAGATCAACTATAATATTACCTCCACAGCTTCTCCTAGAATTGTTTTTAGCCTGAGATGAAGTAAAAAAAATTTTAAATAAGTTGTAAAGATTTTAGTGAGACAATGAATTTATATTAAAAAAGAAACAGTAGTAAAGACTAGACATAAAACAAGCAGAAGATCTGCATACTTCAGCAAAGGATCTAGGGGATGATTCAATAACATCATCATCAATAGCCTCAACATCGATCAGAGCTAGTTGCACAGGCTGCGCTGGCTGGCTAGTTTGCACCTCCTGAAACAAATTCTGAGTTGAAGAACCCCCCTGATCCCTGCTTTCAGTTGGTGGAATATTTAGATCTGGTAAATTCCTCCTCCTTCGAAATCCTCTAAGAGGAGGCCCTCTCAACTCCTGAGTGCTCATGCTACTATGAGATGAAGATGTTGCAGAATGTTGCAGTGCTAATAAACCCTTAGAAATCCCAAACAGAATAGAAAAAGATTTTCATCAGATACTAAAAGTCTAAAACAAGATTTCATTACAAATTATAAATATTTTTTAACAACAAAAGGTATAATTCACAATTGCTGCACCAACAAAATACAGTAAACTACTGTATACATACTTCCAAAGCGTCAAGCATGGAATTGAAGAAACAGAGTATCCAAGTTCCAAAGGGAAGCTAGCTTTTTAGAAATGGAGAATCCAATACAAGTCTGTTACTGTAGAAATGAAAATGAAGTAAGATTTTCTTGGAAATTTTAGCTTGCAGTAAAATCTAAGATTAAAAAAAAATATACACAATCAACTAATAGAAAACAAGATTATTCAAGGTTTAAAACTATATATATATATATATATCATCCTTAACCCCAACCATATGAAATAAATCAACTAATTCAATTCCCATACTCAAAATTCAATTTTTATTTTCCTTCTACTTATTCTATGTATTTATCTTCTACCTTTTTATAAAGCTGGAAAATCACTAATCAAAAAAAAAAAAAATCATCATAAAATAGCTAACTTGTAAACAAATTCACACTGCCTTTAATTTTCTTTATAATTTTAGCATAACCAAACGATGGAAGGTGAAGAGAGGGAAATGGAAGGATATTGTCTCTCCTCCTCTCCCCTCGACTCCGTTTCCCTCAAAACAAACAGGGACGAACAAAGCAATCAAATGATGATCAACAGATTCAAAAAGACCAGAAAAATTCGAACTTTTAAGTAACAAAGCAAATTCGAATCAAAACCAAACTCCACAGAATTCAATTTTCGAGGAACCGATGCACATTGAAAAAAATAAAAAAAAGGTTGACCAAGATTTGAAACTCAAAATCAGACCTTGAATTCAAAAACTCGCGACGATCGTTTCCGATGATGCTCGGAACGGAAAAGCAATTAATTGAGTAGAGAAAAAGGAGATGGCTTGATTATTGTAAGGATTTGGAACTTCTAGTTCTAGGGTTTTCAGAAAGAGAGAATGGGGATTTAATTTAAAGGATGCGTCTTGTGTTTTTGTGTTAGCGAGAGAAGGAGAAAGGGAAAGGGGTGAGGTTTCAACGAAAGAGGTTGGAACATTGGGTCGGGCTTCCGGTCTTCGCATTCACACGCGGGTCGGCGTGTGCCTTACATGCGTCCACGTGTCGTTGTTTGATTTAGGAACTGTGTGAAAACGTATTCGATTTTTTTTGTACATCTAATATACAAAAAAAAAAATAGTCTTCTCTTATTCTTACGGCAAAAGGTGCAGATCAGCCCCTAAACTCAACAACTGGTGGCAAATCACCCCCTCAACCCACTTCACGCGCAAATCAGCCCCTCAACTCCTCTGCAGTGGCAAATCACCCCTTCTCTTAACATTTCCGTTAACATTTAACATTCCGTTCATCAGCCCTTCCTCTCTGTCTGACGTGACCATTTTTTGGCTGAGATGGATGTTGAGGTGGAGGCACACATGGACAAATCACTTAAAATTAGTAGATTAGACAAAAATTACTTTTATTTGCGTCTGGTTTCACTTGGGAGGTTGATTTGCCACTGTTCAATCATAAAAACT